GGTCCCTACTCGACAAGATGGGGATCGATTACAGCCAATCCATTTCTGACGGTCTTAGGACGACGATGACCAACAAGCCGGAGAAGTACTACCCGACCAGCGGAACTGGGCTGTGGGCTATGGCCAAGCTTGGTGTGTCAAATTGTTTGATGTTTGAGTAACTGATGGCGCTGACCGGTGTATCAGTGCAACAGGGTTCCTGGTGGGAGACTACGATCCCCGCTGAGCTCAAGACCGGCCAATATATTGTAAGGAACGAGGTGAGGCAATGAATACATGGTATAGAGAATGGCTGCTGAATTGTTGATGATAGATGACCGCGGTGCACAATCCCCTCAGCTCGAGCGGTGACCGTCCCGGGCCGCAGATGTACATTGCCTGTGTCCAAGTGAATGTCAAGCAAGGTGGCTCCCAGTCGCTGCCCTCCGGTACCCAAGCTGGATCGTAAGTTGTTTACGATCGATCGTGTATCGTTGATACTAAGACATCCTTAGGTTATACTCCCCTAGTGGCGACTTTGCCAACTTCAATGTCTACGCCGGCGACGAGTGGAAAGATCCCTTCCCAGACGTCTTGAGCTTTGCATCCTCATATTCAAGCGGTTCCTCGTCCTCCTCTTCCGACGCTTCCTCCTCCTCGGCTTCTTCCTCGGAAGCTCCCGCTCAGACCTCTGCCTCGTCTACTGATGATACCAATAACGCCCCATCTACGACACTGACATCCACTGCCTCTGCACAGACCACTTCAAGCAGCAGCAACTCCTCCACTGGAGCCTGCCGCGAGCGCCGAAGCATCAAGAAGCGCATGGAGTCCCACAAGATCATGAAGAGGCAGCCCTTCCCTCATACTCACTAAATTTCTTTTGCTGCGATGACAGGTACCCACTATTATAAAGAGTGTGGTCTGGTGCATCTTTGATACCTCATTTTGTTACTACCTTGTTCGCCGTGCGACAAGCCATCATCTCTAGCATCCTTCTTTTTGTCGTGTCCTCAATTGTTGAAATAGCATTTGCATATATCATTGCTGAATGTATTTTTGTGCCTCAATGAATATTCCCGCGGGACGTTATTGTTGCCGGCGCTGTTCAGGGGTTACGTTGCCGACGTCGCTCCACCGTATCCAGGGGCAAACGTTCCGAAGGTGCTGCGCGCCGCCGGATGACGGTTTCGGTCCCTTTCCTCAGCTCCAACATTACCCGGTTATCGTTCTCGAGCCTGAAGCCAGGTCTCCTGTTCATATTCGAGCCACGGTCAAATTGAGGAGCCAATGTGGACGTTCGAGTTACAGTTGAAGTGGCTATTAAGGAGAAGCCTTCCTGGGCGCCAGATTGACTACAATTGAAGTTTACTTGACGTACCAATACCTTGTCGTTACAATCATTGGCAGACAGACAGGTATGGGAGTTGCAACTGGGTACGATTTATCGCCGATATTATTCCAACAGCATGGCTTCTCTATAAGCGATATCATCTTCGTCTGACCATGTGCATAACTTCCTTACCTTGCTGTATCCACTCTGGTGACCTGCCTCGAGGTCGCGAGCGCCAAGTGGAGGAAGTCGGCTCCGAGGGTCTGCCTGAGCGCTAGCACTGATAACGGTATACGCGAGCTTCTGATTCCATCGGTGTTCATAGGTCGGTACCAATGCAGGACGAGAAATGTAATCGTTTTCCCGGCCTTGCTTCACCGCCGTATCGAGACCACTTTTAGCTATCGCCGCAAGTTTGATCTATCTCTCCCGCAAACCCCGGTGAGCTCGCATTCCAGTGCAGCATATGCCGGTATCGAGGATGCTCATTGGGATCCAGATTGTAATGGTTCATGCTGCAAGTGCCTGCCAGTGATTTCCGGGATGAAATTTTGGGGATGCGTTATACTACTGAGATTCCAAATCCGCGGTTCCATCGGGCTTCACATCTACAAGTTACAGTAATTATGCTTCAAAGAAGTGATTTACAACCATTGCAAGCGTACTAACTGACGTACTCGTACGTGGCTAGGCACACTCTTACCATCGCACCAGGTTTTCTCACTACATATTCTACGCAATAGTGCTTTGCTTGAACTGGACTTTCTCAAACGAGGATGCAGCACTGTCATAAGATTTTGCACAGAGGTCTTCGCTTCTGCAGTGGCTAGTCGCATGTGAATCACCGTGACGGTACGTAGTACGTTGCTAACAGTCCAAACACTCACTATACGTAGTACTTGTCAGAATGGCATTCTGTAACTATGTCATCCAAAGCTTCGTCCTCTGCCACGTTTCTTTCACTTTTTGTTGTTGTTATGACAACAGTTGTTAAATGTATGGCCGTGGTGCGTCATGATATATCTAGAGGACAATGTGCCAAGTAAGTATGTTTTTGAGGTCGCATCCAGGGCTCTGATACGAGTTTCAAGGTTTTCCTTGGCACCCTGAATATGTCGATTGATGGCTCCAGATGCAGAGATCCTTATCCTTTAGCCTTAGACTTATACTCCTACTATCAGGACGTCAACATGGCGCACGACTATGAAATGGTTCATTTGGCGGAGAGAGAAGATCTTCGCGAAGGTGATATGAACTCTTCCTCCACTACCACCCTATTGGAACATTCGAGGAAGAGTCGGATTTCCAAAAGACATTTCCTCGTTCACATCCTGCACTCTGCTTTGTTGGTCATTTGTTTAATCATTCTGATTGCTGGGATAAGTAAGTGGGAGCATAGGGTTTCTGTAAATGTCCAAAAGGTTCGTGTTTGGTCTTTGCTCTTTTCTATCAGCACGTCTGACACGTAGCGGGGTATCTCTAGGCCAGTGAAGTTGCAAGTTATATAAGTGTTGGCTTCCAAGCTTTTTTCACTGCAAGTATTCTGGTACTGTTCTGGCTCTCCAGAGGCATTGCTATCGATGACGCTATTCGCCATCGTGAGTTTGTATTTGTACCATCTTTCGCGGGCCGTGCCTAACTTTTCACTCGCCTGCCTTCAGCCCAGACGTTGTTAGACCTCGACATGCGCCTTCAAGCGTGGGCTGGTCTAGGTCCTTCGCTGACGAACTGGTTATACGCACCAGGAAGCGTGCTTAGTCGATTAAGCCCGGTTCTTTCAGCCATACCCATATATTTCGTGGCGGGAACTGTGCTGCAGATTACTTCGTCTGGTGTATTGAGTAAACCTATCTACCAACTCTATTGACTCCTTGTGTTGATCGTTGTGACCAGGTGTTAACGTGTACAATTATACATCGACGACCTCGGAAGATTATGCTGCTACCAACCATATGGGATCATATTCTGGGATAGACGATGTCTTCAGCAACAGAGGGCTCACCTGGATCTTCGCTGCGGAAGACAACATCGGACTATGGAAGGCTGCTCGACAGAATATGTTTCTTCCGGATATTAATAACACTCAGACACCTGGACTTCAAGGACGGTACGTATGTCCAGGGCCCAGAATATGACTTTGTGTTGACACGAATACGCTAGCCTCCTCCATGACATACCGAGCGTCTTTCATTATACATTTGATTTAGGTATGGTTTCCAAACCATTGGCGACTGTGTGTTGACTGAGCGCCGATAGCGCATGTGAACGGTACAAGGATAAATGTCCAGTGCAGCCAACCTCAAGATGCTCTTGTAGAAGCATTGCTAATTCCTCAAGGCATTAATGACACCTCGGTCGCGCTACATTCTAATGATAGTAAATACGTCAGCAATGCAACTAATACCGACTACGATGATCAAGTCTGGCTGAATGTGTCGATGTCCGTGCCACCGTATTGGGACAGCAGCGTGCCAGGACTTAACTTCTCAAGCCTGTGGTCGCAGTCGCCCTATTCCCAAGAGACTGGCCAGACGAGTATGGAGCTACCAAGTGAGTGCTTCTTCAATGTGCTTGTCGAAGCTGAGAACTAAATACATATTCGCAGCTAAGGTTATCCTTCAAAACTGGGCTTTTTCCAATAACACAAATGTCTCAATTGGCCATCATCAGGTTATCTTTGCTCTTGCGACGGGAGATCCATCAGTTTTGATTCGCGATTCCAACAACTCGACTGGCATATACAGTAATTTTACCATTATACCTGGGCGCAACGTCACCGACTGTCTACACCAGTGCCATTTTTGGCATGGGAGTGATTGCGATAATCAGTGTAAGCCCCAACCTGTGCCAGGGTACATGCAGGTTGTTGGTTGTTCCATGCATACGACACAGGTGAACGTCTCCGTCACAGAAACCGGGTTGCTACCAGAGGAGTTCACTCAGGAGGAGCATGCTCCGCATGAATGGGTTTCATTCGAGTGGGAACAGCAGAGTGAGGTTATTATGGACAGACAATTTCTTATTACCTTTAGTCCTGCATCGTCGTTCGACGATCCGACAGGAGAGGCAGCCATCGGTAGAGGATACACGGGTGCTGAAAGACTATTGAAGAGGGCTTTGGTTGGCTCGGACGGATGGCAACCGACAGGCATGAACCTCAGTCGACTAAAAGGTGACATGGAGCTGCTCTCCGCGAGTTACTTTTGGAACTATTGGCAAACCTGTGATTTTCCCAAAGTGCTTGCGCCTGACTATGTGGAGTGCAATTCGTTTCGGTTCGGGACCGCCGCCTGGGACAAATACGTTGCAGCAGACTTTATGAGGACGGAGACGAGGGCGAGGTTGGAAGTTGTGATATGGAGAGCTGCGGTTAGTGTGGGGTGCTCGCTAGTGATGATGGTGTTGGCGATGAGGTTGTTGGGTATGAAGACGGATTTACGACCTGGAGAGTCGTTGAAGGGTACGAGGTTTGTGGAGACGGTCGCTTTGATGCGTGGGTCGGGATTGCCGGGACTTGTGGGTGTGGATCGGATACCGTTGAGGTACGATAGTCCCACATCGTCTACAACTATACTGACTATTCCTAGGTACGGGGTTTGTAAAGACGGGTCCGGGGTCAATTTGGATGTCGCCATCTGAGCCTGACCACATCTGCCACCTGGATCCTCGACCCGCATCCCAGCATCAGCCGACCTTAGCTCAGCTGGAAGAGCGTCAGACTGTAATTGGTTATCTGAACGTCGTGTGTTCGATTCACACAGGTCGGAAACTTGAAAAGTTGGAAATCGCACGAAACAGTTGGTACTAAACTTTGGTACTACTTTTCAAGTTTTCTTTTTAACATTGCCCTCTAAATTCTAGCTCTGAGCCTTCAAACTCAGAGTCAGCGCTAACATTGTGACTGAGCGCTGAGCTGAGTCCTGTCGGCATGGATCTCCCTGATTTAATCACTCCCCCACAAACCATTAAACATAGCCATTTGCGCCACGCTACTTATCTCTCACTCAATCTCTTAATCTCATTTGCTCTGGTAATCTGAATGCATTCCAGCGCTGCCGCCGCTCTAGCGATGAATTTGGGAACTTCCACTTTCATCTTTTACACCCCACCCTAGCCGCTTCAGTGAAATATGATGTACAAGCGAATTTCGAATTAAAATTCCATGATCCAGTACTTTGAACTTGTCTCCAAAATGCGTGTTGAGAGGTACGAATGAGGGGTACATCTCGGTGCGATTAATTCCCACCATCTCAGCGGGCACTTCCCCAGAACCGGTCGGCAGTAGTGAAGTCAAATCTGGTATACCCCCTGTTGTAGGTGCTGTAGTGGAGGAAGAGCGTCGAGGTTTACCTTCTGACGCATCATTGGGGTTCTGATTCCACCGTTATTTATCAATCAGCGCTAAGCTACTGTAGATACAACGGAGTGGTGCATTTTCATATAAAGCATCTTTCCTTCCAAGGCAGTAGAAAGATGGATACGGTCCGAGCATCCCGAGGTTTCCATCTTGTTTAGGACAGGCAGCCTGCATCTTAAGATACGACCACCACCAACAGCTTGCCTTATGGAACCTTGACGCCCATGCATCATGCCTCAACGCGTGTTGTTGTCTGACCACAAGGAGCTGAAGGCGTCTATCATTGAGGCTGTATACCAATACACTTCGACTTGGGTCATCAGACCCAGACCTGAAGCTTTATTATCTTGACGCTGGCATTGATGAAATGGGAACGAAGAGTACGTTGTTGGGCCTCGAGTAACTCATACAGTTTAATTTTAACCGTGACTCAGCCTAACCTCATCTAGGGTCTTTTCAATTTACTTAAGAAAGTTGGTGACTCAACAAGCGTGTTACTCAGATACCTCCGGTACCTCGGGAGAGCGCGCGTCTAATAATCCTATATAATCTCTATTCTCACATCTGGCTGTCTCTTCATCTTTCACATGGCTTTCCCTGATCAATCAACCTTCATGATGCGTATGGGCCAATACCCCGATTTTTCATCGGCAGCTCCGGGTCTGCCCTTCACTCAGTTTTTACCGTCTACTACAATGCACCCCCGGGACGCCAGTGCGAGGATGCAACACGTACCGCAGAAGGGACCCGGGAACAACAAAGTTGTAAAAGAGATACCAGACAAGAGCAAAACAGAGTTCCCTTGCGATCGTTATCTGAAGCGCTTCCAGATTTGGGATCCTGAAGAGCTCGAATATGTCCCGTATGACTCGAGCGCGAATACATCCACTCCTGCTACCAAGGAAGAAGACAAGACTAACTATTTCTACATCGATTCGCGGTATGAAATAGAACGATGTACGCCGAACGTTCTTTCTGTCGACTGTTTTTGATTGTTGTTTAGCGGAAGCGAAGGTCTGGGTCACAAATTTCAGCAAGTCCTTGCTTGCTTTCTTGCGGTATGTCTCTCGACTATCTGACGTCGCATATCCCAATCCTTGTATGCAGAGTTACCGTTGGAGATGACTTCTTCAGCTCGGATCCGGAGGTCCTTGTCACGTCCTTGTTTCCAAAGCTGTCGTTGATGAGAAAGACGTTGGCGACCACGAAGTCCTTCGTCTTATCTGACAAGGCTCATACTCTCGAGGAATATCTTCACGTCATGAAATCCGTAGGTCTGAATGACATAGATGAGAAAGACTGTATGTCCAATAGTCACTTCATCCATTCTGACACTCATCACGCAAGATAGCAACCTTGTCCGATATGGTCCAGCAAGTCAACGAATTGATAGAGCATGTCGAAGTTCTCATGTCATATCTCGAGGAACAGTTCAAACCGATGTATGCGTAACACTGAAATCTTATTTTACCGGCTAATGGTGTGAACTAGTGGCGATCGAGTTGCGTTGGCTAGTAGCTACGGCCATGCCGAATTTGATCTGCAAGTCGTTGTTTCTGGGTAAGGGGAGAGTGAGCTGATGTATGCCTCACCCAGACTACAATATTTCTCCGAACCTGGTCAGGAGATGCTTACTACCGACAAGTTTCATCAGCCGGTGAGCACATTCAGATGAGACTGTGTTTGCGTAATCCTGACCGAATTTTCCAAGATCGCCGTGATAATTGATAGGACTTACTATGGCAATGAGCATTTGTATGTCAATGCTTTACATTAGTCTTTGATCTATTCACAAGACAATTTAGTCCTGATCCGGGTCGATTCTTCTACGTTGTGTGTCAGGGCTTGTTCTGGGATGGCTCTTGCTATTCTCCATACTACGTCCAACGTAAAGTGAAAGAGTACAAGGTTTGCAGACACCAGATGATTACCAAATGCTGGAATTGATTTTCGATGTAGGGTAGCAGGGAAATATCCTCTCTTCCTTGGACTAAATTAGAGCCCGATGTTCAAGAAAAACTCAAAGGTCAGCAGATCTCGCCTTCATGTGCTAGACTAATATAACGCCAGTTCGCGGCAAGCTATATACTGCACACTCGGGAGTGCACTATAAAGTTTGTAAGTGATTCATTGAGGGTTCATGCTTCTCTAGCTAATATGGCGTCCAGATGAAACTGTAAATATGATTATCTGTTCGTATCTTCCTTGCCTCGTAATCCCTTTTCCTTAGAAACGTATTATCGTCGATCGGATGGCGTACGATAATCGGATGGGCTACACCCGCGATCCGTTAAGTGAACAACTCATGTTTTTTACGTACGCTTACGCCATTGATTTAGTGATCAAGCCATACCTGAACTTGAAGAGGAGCGTCTTCATCTCCTTCCTTCGGAAGTGTGAGAGACTTCTGTTATCTTGTGGCTTCTTAACTAACAGCATTCTCTACCAGTTACGGATTCAATTTAGTGACGAAAGAGTGGACTCGTTTTCTCGTCGAGAAGTTAAAGGAGGTCATTTTTGACAAAGATGCATGGGACCATCTCGTCCTGGATGAGGATGTCAAGGTTGGCATACTATATCGTGTTGAGAAACATAATCTGATCAATGATCCTTCAGACGTTGATCAAAGGCCTTGTCGAAGTGACCAAGAACAAGACCTCCTCCAGTAAAATGATTAACGATGTCATCTCCGGAAAGGGTGGCGGGCTAGTGAGTTACGAGAGAAATGATTGACCGATGGTATTGAAAAAATACCCAGATTTCTGTCCTCCACGGTCCTCCAGGAACAGGTGGGGGTGTCAAAAGTCTTGGTGATGTTTCTGGATATACTAACAACCGCTACTAGGAAAGACCCTTACCGCTGAGTCTGTGGCAGAGCTCCTCCGTCGTCCGCTTTACATGGTTGGCTCATCAGAACTCTCTGCTCGTCCTCCCGAGCTAGAGATTAACCTTCGATCCACTCTTAGTGTAAGTGTCAGCTTTCTCACGTTATTACAATGTTTATAGTCGCAATTTTCAGTTGGCAACAGCCTGGGACGCAGTTCTGTTGATTGACGAAGCAGATGTGAGCGCCAGGCATAGAACTTTGGCGCCAGTCCTTTGACCATTGATCCATAATAGGTATTCCTTGAACAGCGCAGTCTGCACGAGGTACGTCGATTCATTGGTGGCACCCTCCTTTGTAACATCTCTATCAGCTTGAACGAAACGCTCTTGTTTCAGTAGCGCTAAGAGTTCTAGAGTACCACCGTGGTGTCCTTTTTCTCACTACAAACCGGATCAAAACGTTTGACGAAGCCTTCTTGTCTCGTTTCTCAATCGGTTTGTCTTCTTCCTTGGATGCATGCTGTAATCATGATAACAGTCTTTATGCAGCTATCAAGTATCCCGAGCTTGACGTTGCTGGTAGACGCGCTATCTGGCAGAAGTTCTTCAGTCTCGCTGGCTGTACCGTGTCTGCGGAGGATCTGGAGAACCTGGCAGCGAAATCGTTCAATGGTGAGCAGTAATATAATTTACCTTCAATAATCAATGCAGAATGTTCACACCGATCATAGGCCGCACTATCAAGAACATGGTGAGCATCTTTCCGGCGCCCTCGGCCTGAGTTAAATTCACAATTCTCGAAATCAAGGTCCGAACTGCCCAGGCTTTGGCTCTTTCAACGTAAGCTCTTCTACATATCAGCATTCTCAGATCGTTGATTTGTTCATAGAGACAGGCCATTTGGCATCGAGCATATCCAGGTAGTTTCGAGAGCTCAGGAAAAGTTCCTAGATGAGTTTTCACGTTTGGAACGGTGATTATGTTGCTAGACCCTGTAACGTCTGTTTTCGATCAATTTGATACTGAGTATTCTTCTTTGTTCTTTGTTGGCTAGCGAACATAGACACACGTGGAAAATCCCCCAATCTGGAAACAATGGAAGAAAAAATTACTTGGGTGGCGAAAGGGGGTGACCTTTATATAAATAGCAGTCAAGTTCAACTTCCCAAAGTCTCCCACCTCTAGCTTTTCCTTTCACCTACAATCGCAATATGGTTTCTCTTGACCCCACTCACGCAGCTACCACCGAAGACGAAACGACCATAGATGAAGCAGCTGCCGCACTCGCCGCCGAAGAGCTCAAGAAGAAGACTGAGATACAATGCGAGCATTACCTCAAACGCCACCTGGTTTACGAGGACTATGGATGGGTTCCCTACGATCCAAGCACCTACGTGAAGCCCAAGACAGAAAGAGAGGATCTGGACAACTATTTCTATGTGAACGTCAGATATGATCGGAAAGGTGGTACGTTGAAGGGCCGACCTGTTCAAACGTTCGAAGTCGAACTTACCTTGCTGTAGCTGATCCTTCCCTCGTGTTGTCTCATTGGAGCAAAACTCTCGTTTCGGTCCTGAGGTAAGC